GGTGGCTGCGATTTCGAAACCCAGGGTTTCACTGCCTCAGTTCTCTAGCTAGGGCTTGGCGCTGTGACCTCGCAGGGGGTGAAACTGGGGACGGGTTGAGAAGGGGCCGGCATTAGTGGGGTCCCTGGGGCACGGTGACCTTGGAAAGGGGGGCAGGTGGCTGGAGCGCTGGGGCCGCAGAGGCTGGGGTTGTCAGCAGGGTAGAGTCAGATAAGGACCGAGAGCCCCACTGGACTTTGAAGCAAGTAGGTCATCGATAACCCTGGTGCGAAGCCCATTGGCTGGGGATGGAAGCCGGATTCCAGTGGGTGAGGCTGGATGGGGCTTAGGGCACTGGAGGCAGCGCGGGTGTTGACAGATGTTTTTAGACACGTGGCAGTGAAGGGGCGAGTTGACCATTGTTTTAACCCACGGACAAGAGAGAAAGCCCAGCCCGGCCTGTGTGGCTCAGTGGTTGAGCTTCGACCTATGAGCCAGGAGGTCACAGTTGGATTCCTATCAGGGCACATGCATGCCTGGATTTTGGACTTGATCCCCAGTTGGAGGCGTGCAGGAGGCAGCCTATAAAAGATTCTCTCTCACCATTGAAGACTCTCTCTCTCTCTCTCTCTCTCTCTCTCTCTCTCTCCCTCTCTCTCTCTCTCTTCCTCCCTGAAAAAAGGAGAGAAGGACCAGGGGTTAGAGGGCAGAGCTGGTATTACTGAGCATTCCCAGCATCCATTTCTCCATCTCTCTTCATTTTGTTCAGGGGCCCACCCCTCCCCGACACCCACTGACTCCGCCCACTGTGGAGCTAAGGAAGATCTTTCTCTTTGACAGCGACTCCTTGAGGCCCGGCCTGTGCCATTTTGGATGAGACGCTGGGGAAAATCTAGGCGCTGATGGATGGATGGAGGTGGGGGCCCATCTCTGAAAACATCCCCTCCCCCACTTCCTCCAGTGGATGTTGACCATCTCCAGTCTGTCTTTCCTTGCTTCGGCAGACAGTTATAGGACACCTACTCCGCTAGGCCCTGGGGACCGTGGGGGGGGGGGGGGG